CTTACACTGCTAAATTAGGGACGGCTAGCGGAGATAGCCCTCGTGTAGCTTTGCGCAAAATTCAAAACAAACAAACAAATCTTTATAAATTGTAAAGAAATTTGTAAAAGACCCTTTCAAAACTGGACAACAAATTCTTTGGTTCTATTGATATTCCGAACATTTCAGGCTATAATTGAGCGTTTTGACAATACTAACACGGTAATACCCAACACTTATTTTAATACATAACTGATATTTCATATGTCAAATAATCGGTACTCTAATCGGTTTATAAACTGGATTATAAACATGGCTTGAATCTGGTTCAGCTCTGTTGTAGGTTATATGCTTGAAACACAAAGATTTGAAACTTGAGAACGTGCGATTTAACGCTATTACTATAAGAAGAAGTATTTGACGCATCGTTTTTAAGTGCACAATTTTCATAATTAAAACATACATTACTGCATACTATCATAATGTCAGAAAAACACGTAGGTTCATGAAGTTTTAATATAAAACGACAAAAACCCGATAACCCGAGAGCTTTCGAAAGGCAAACTGAAAAAGAAAGGTTCTCCTTTCGAAAGCGTTCGAGTTATAGGGTTTTAGTCGTTTCAATGCATACAATGTCGGCAATTTATAATATAAGGATAATTAAAGTTTATAAGTTAATAATCCCAAGTAAACTGTCGTTGAACCAACTTTATATAAGACAATAATGCGAAGATATACATACTTTCTGTTTTAGAGCTGTTCGCAATGTATTTTGGCACGTTTTACTTTCAAATGTTTATTGGAGCAATTCGATTAGATAAATTGTCAGGTTTAATCATCGTCAGACTAAAATACGTTGCACTTAGAAATGTTTATCTACTCTACAAAACACAAAAAATAAAAACCTTTTGCGTGTAAGTTTGTATATAAACAATTTTTCCTGTAGAGAACGCGTGCTATTTGCTCTAGTATGCCATGAAGAATTCCAACATGCAGACATGTGGGTATTTTGGGCTAATGAACGCTCAGAGTAGTCAATGCCTTTAACTGTAGACAGCAGTTGTATTTTGGACGTATACTGCAACTGTACTTCTATTTCAGTTGCATACAGCAACAGATATAGTACTCCGAAAATACACAACTCTTTTAATTAATATGTCAGATGTATAAAACAGAGCAACTGCGTCAGTGTTATATGGAATTTAGCTCAACTTGTGTGTTAATGTATGAACAAGTTGTTCCTCATTGTACAGGTGTACAAACAGAACAACTGAGTCAGTGTTGTATGGAATTTAGCTCAACTTGTGTGTTAATGTATGAACAAGCTGTTCCTCATTGTACAGGTGTACAAACAGAACAACTGAGTCAGTTCAACTTGTGTTTTAATGTATGAACAAACCGCTCTTCATTGTCGCTATGATGTTAGCTCTGGGTATAAAGAACTAATTTGACCAGACATCTATAGATTAAAATGTATAGTAGGTTAGGCAAGACCTCCTCAACTAACTGAAACAATTTTTTTTCAAGATTTACGATTTAACAATTGATTTATTGTCTGCAGTTTAGGTATATTTGTTCATGCTCTCTTGGAAACGTTGATTTTATTTACAACGTTTATGAAAGATATTGGAACAAAGGAAAAACTTCAGCTTGACGAAAATTTAATCTTTAAAACATTTACTTAATATTTTTTTCTTATCAGTTATTACTTGTAACCCAAAGTATTAGTTACTATCAGTAGTACAAAGTATCAGTTATTACGTGTAGCACAAAGTATCAGTTATTTCTTGTAGCGCAAAGTATCAGTTATTACTTGTAGCGCAAAGTATCAGTTAATACTTGTAGCACAAAGTATTAGTTATTATCTGTAGTACAAATTATCAGTTATTATTTGTAACACAAAGTATCAGTTATTTATTGTATTATAAGGTATCAGTTATTACTTGTTGCACAAAGTATCAGTTATTTCTTGTATCATAAAGTATCAGTTATTACTTGTTGCACAAAGTATTAGTTATTATCTGAAGTACAAAGTATCAATTATAAGTTGTAGCACAAAGTATCAGTGATTACGTGTAGCACAAAGTATCAGTTATTATTTGTAGCACAAAGTATCACTTATTACTTGTAGCACAAAGTATCGGTTATTATCTATAGTAAAAATCATCAGTTATCACTTATGGCTCAAAGTATCACTTATTATTTGTAGCACAAAGTATCGATTATTAGCTGTAGTAAAAATTATAATTTATTTCTTTTAGCACAAAGTATCAGTTATTACTAGTAGCACAAAGTATCAGTTATTACTAGTAGCACAAATTATCAGCTATTATCTGTAGTAAAAATTATCAGTTATTACTTATGGCACAAAGTATCAGTTATTATTTGTAGCACAAAGTATCAGTTATTTCTTATATCATAAAGTACCAGTTATTACTTGTTGCACAAAGTATCAGTTATTATCTGTAGTACAAAATATCAGTTAAGATTTGTGACACAAAGTATCAGTTATTTCTTGTAGCACAAAGTATCAGTTATTATCTGTAGTACAAAGCATCAGTTAAGATTTGTAACACAAAGTATCGGTTATTATTTGTAGCACAAAGTGTCAGTTAAGATTTGTGACACAAAGTATCAGTTATTATCTGTAGTACAAAGTATCAGTTAAGATTTGTAACACAAAGTATCGGTTATTATTTGTAGCACAAAGTATCAGTTATTATCTGTAGTACAAAGTATCAGTTAATATTTGTAACACAAAGTATCGGTTATTATTTGTAGCACAAAGTATCAGTTATTTCTTCTAGCACAAAGTATCAGTTAATATTTGTATCATAAAGTATCAGTTATTGCTTGTAGCACAAAGTATCAGTTATTATTTGTATCATAAAGTATCAGTTATTACTTGTTGCACAAAGTATTAGTTATTATTTGTAGAAAAAAATAGTCTGTAAATTAGCACATGAAAATTTTCTTAATGCACTTTGGTATAGTGGAAGGTTTAGTTCAGAGTATAACGGAAAATGAGCCCCTTAACCAATGAAAATCATTTGTCGATTAACATGCAAGATTCGATAAACAAACACATACAAATTACTCAAATAATGTTTAGCTGTTAGACGTAAAACATAAAATTAATGAATAAGATAAATACTATAATTTATGTACCAATGTGTGAAATTTATCCAGAAGAGGTAAGTGGAATTGAGGTTTTGTTGTAGAAATATCTGGAGAAACATACTCTGCTCCAGTAGAAAATTTTATCTTTTATGTTGTTGTTGTTTTTCACTTTTATCATCCTAAATCATAATTAAATATGAAAGTTACGTTATTAGCCCTAAATGGTTCGTTGCAATCATAAAAAGTATAGCATTTCACGCTGTAAATAGACAGTGTTTTTTATTAATGGGTACTTTACATTATCTATTAAATTGTGTGTATAGGTAAGTTAATATGGCAATTCAAAAATAAAAAACGACATTCTCTGGATAACAAATAGAAACACGTTGAATATTTGTAAATAATTAAATGTTTTCTTTAGCTGTTCTTTGTTAAAAGCCATGAAGAAAATGTACATATGTGGATATTTCTGTGTAAACAATAAAGGATTTCATAGCTCAATACCTTTATTTCGTAAAATTTACAGAATTGATCAAATATTAACATATCAAAAAATAAATTCATATTAATATACAATGAAAGAGCGAATTAAAAATATATTGATATATATAAAAATAATGATATATATATATATATATTATTCAAAATTAAGTTTGAGTTTATAGATATGGATGAGTCAATCCTCTCAAATTTTTGAAAATACAAAGAAATGATAAAAATCTCTGTAACTATCTTAACAACGTTTCGGCTAAACGAAACGTTGCTTATATAATTACGTTTTACTTTATAGAGAATTTTAAATGACAGTATTTTCAGATTCTCTTACACAGAGTTGCTTTTGTCATTCGTGTTGTTCTCAGATTTTAACTTAATTATCTAAAGTATCAATATGTAATGCATATCATTAAATCATGAATTAAAATATCAAATTTTAAAATAACTTATACTTTAGAAAAGTTTAAAAATTGTTTTAAATGATTTTATTTGATGCATTTAAACACGAATTTATGTATTTTAATTTTTATTCACAGGCACAACGAAAGGTTCACTAACGTCAAAATTCCAAATGGTTTATATTTAACAAATTCAATTGTACTAAGTTATTTGTTAACTTACAACATTCAAACTAACCCCCCCCACACACACACACACTCACACACATAAACAGTAATAGAAAATTCGAAAAGTGAACAATAAATTTTCCATTTTTTGAGATGTTTGATATTAACATTTCCAGTTAGAAATTTATATACTATTTAACAAATTGATCAATTAGGCATATTTAAACCATTTTAACTTTCTATCAAGGCTAGAATTTCACAGATTTAGGTGTAGATATAACACTGTACAAAGTAGTTTGCCGAGTGTTATGGTCAAAACTAGACTGGAATTGCTCCTGATTCAAACTTTTACAACTTTTCTCGCAGTCTTACCAGTACAAATACATTTATAACCATGCTATATCCAGCAGTTCGTCTCCACTTAGGTCATTATAGTCAGTCATAGTCCGTGGGGAAGAGAAATCAGAGACATGAGTTTTTATCAAGGAACTTCTTTCAGACGAAAAGATCATTCCTTCAGAATTAAACGATGACGAAGGTGGCGGTAGTAAATCTTGGTTGCAAGGCACGGTATCTTCGATTTCATAAAAGCCGTGAAATATAGTAATGTTCTTCAATTCAGATTTAACACTTTGAGAATTGTGATTTTCGTCGTCATCTCTAAGAAGCTGTTGTAGCATTTTGATGTACTCGACCGCTGAACGCAGCGTTTCCACTTTACTCATTTTCTTCTTAGTGGCACCACCAGGCACATGCTGTCGTAACGCTGCAAATCCGCGGTTTACGAGCTTCACACGGTTTCGTTCGCGTTCGTTCCTTTTTGCCATAATATTCGGGCGATTACGCGAAGAACAGTAATCGTGTACATAAGACCAGCTTGGTGATAGCCTAGCCACTTCAGACAGCCCGCGTGAGGTAAAACGAGTGCCCGCTAATGGATCACCCATTGGAACGCCAGCGATCGGTAACATCCCAAACATTTCGTACATCCCTTCTGCTCTAGAAGTTTCCATTGGATGAAATGAAGGTTATATATCGGAATAAAAGACGCTGTTGAACTTCCCTAGCGGTAATCAAACTCAAACATCAGATTAAATACTGTTTGGTTCTTTAATTTATAAACTCACTCCAAACAAGACGTGTTTTTGCTATTAATATTGACAGACTAGGGTCTACGAATAAAGCGTGGTCACAGAAGTTTACTAACAATACCCAATAGCAACAGGGTATGAAGAAACACTCCTACTGAAATAGTATTTGGGACGTTATGAATAACAAGCTCCGCCTCCAGTTATAAGCGTCTCTGTTCCCTACTGATACGTGATTGGCAGAACGTGTGTTTGGCACGTGCCCTGAAACAAGAGAGCTTGATGTTTCCCCAGTTCATGTGTGTTTTTCTCATAGTCCCAAGAAGTTAACAATTACTGGATGACACATTTCTCGCGAATAGAAGAACAAAAGCTCATACCACTAGTCAGCAGGTTAAGAGTAGTAAGTAACCTATTAACTTTCGCGTACATATCCTTTATAGTATATAGATCATTACACTTTTATAACCAACATAATTTTGCTTGTATTATTTGTATTTATGACAAATCTACTAAAGCTATCTGCCGCTACCCTACTTTTGAGCTACTGACCAGAGGGAAGGAAGCACATTACAACCCATTATCCATGCTAGGTGATTGACTGTCACTCTTATAACACATTTACTTTCATCGCTTCAAAGATAGATGATCCGACGAAGATCGATTGTAGGAACTCATTGTTAGGGAGGAGGTGGGAAAAGAAAATGGATATTTTGGGGCTCCTCGATGATCGCTAGGGAGACAGATTTCCCCCTTTATCGTTTACCCCGCTAGCATTGTTCTTATATATGACAACCAGTGGACTACTGATTAAAGCAGGTCAAGTTCTGCCAAGTGGGATTCGAACCTAGGCTTTTTTTCAGCATTTTATTGGTAGGGTAAGTCAAGTATGCCAGTTTCCCTGAGAAATTACGAAAGAAAACTGCAACGACCGAGGGAAAACACATGGAGCAATTAACGACCGAGGGAAAACACATGGAGCAATTATTTTGTTTCATGAGCAGGAACATTTAACTGTTATAGTTCAAACATGCTGCGACATTGCGTGTCAAGTTATACAATTCCTGATAGACAAAACCATGAAAACAAAACCGTCATGCCTGAAAGAGTTGCACTGCATGTCATACTCACAATGCTGTACATGATAAAAAAAAGTTTATATTCATTAGCTGTGAGTGCTAACTGTTTTGTAATATATGACGCACAGACATTTTTTTCATTCTTCGTACCTACGTTTCGGCAACAGCATTCGTTCAGGGTCTGTCCACTGACAGGCGGAATCGTCAAGTTTACTATCAAGTTGGCTCTTCCAGGTTGTTTTTTCTTCGTCTTGAAAATGTCATGATCTTCTCTTTGACATGAAAATATCTGTAGCGAACTCATTTTCGTCTGTTTAGTTTATTTAATTTCAGAGTAGTAGTTTGCTATTATACCGATAGATGGCAGCACTCAAAGTGAGTCTCGAAAAATTACCGTTGTACTGACGGTAGCCTTTGAATATATTGTGTTTCAAAAATATATATATAACTTACTTGATTTACGTGAAGGTGTAACTATGTTTAAAAATATGAAAATCATATAAGAGGAACATATTTTTAGGAACATAATTTCTCTGCACAAAACCAGTTAGTTAGTTTCAAAGATTAATATTATTACACCTGGCTTTGCCTGGTATTTAGGATACACGACTCGCGATCTGTGGGTCGCGAGTTCGTGTCCCCTCACCGAACATGTTTGACCTTTCGGCTGTAAGGACGTTATAAAGTAACGGTCAATCTTATTATTCGTTGGTACTTATAAGCCTAAGAGTTGGCGGTGGGTAGTTTTGACTTGCTGACTTCCCTCTAGTCTATCACTTCAAAATTATGGTCTGTTAACGCATATAACTCTCGAGCAGCTTTGAACAAAAATTCAACAAAACGAACAACTTTATTCGCTAATTATTGTTACTTCTTCAAAATGATAAAATAATACAATTGATCTTGCATTTATATACTCAGATGTATTTGTAATATTGGTCTAAAAGCACAGTTGATTTCCATGATACTATTTAAAAAAGCTTATAAATATATATTTTTTTACAGAAAGATGAAAGTGACGTAAAGTAAGCCTAAAATCAGTATGTAGTTCATATTAGTAATGATATGCCTTTTTTTTCCAAATTGAAATTCGTGATCTTATGATTTTAGATTACATTTAAACTGAAAACAATAATAATTAGTATTTTGTTGTTGTAGTTGTTAAACACAATGTTACACAATGAGCTGTCTTGGCTCTGCCCACGGTGGGTTTCAAATTCGATTTTTAGCGTTGTAAGCTTTCAGACTTACCACTGAACCAACGAGGGACAACAATTAACAGCTAATGGCAACTGAAAATAAATTACATGGAAATAAACGTATAAAAGTCGAATAAAACTTATCTACAGTATTTTGTCAGATTCAGCACAAAGTTAGTTCTTTGCTTTTTATGAAAGTCCATTTAATTTATATTAAATAATAACATGAAATACGTTATAGTAATTTATGGCAGTATTAAACACACAGTACATAAACACTTTTTTCCAATCATATCAACTATTTTCACAATTTCAACAATAATGAATATAATTGTTGTAACGCTGTACGTGACAAAACTTATATGGATGAACTATTAAAACTACAATGTCAACCAAAGTACGGTTGGCCTAACGTGAACTAAGTCTGTTTCATGTTCTTAAAGACGTAGTTTCACTGTACCCGAATTATTATTTTTTAACGATAGAGCCTAGAAACTATAATTTAGGTTATAACAGTCAAATTGCCCCAACTGCCATCCCGTCGCTGCATCCAGGTGGTCTCGACTACTACTATTCGCCGATCTCTGCAAGTTATGAAACGAGTAAATCTATTTTCTCATTTCAACGAAAGTTGTCTGGCGTGAAAATCTGGAATTAAACTTAAAAACAAAGAGTTTTATTTTGTATCGAGACATATATGTATACATTTAGAAAATAGCTTTTAGTTTACCGTTACAGCCGGGCCGTAACCCCCTAACCCACCCCCATTTATTTATAAAGTTTATGTTCGAGAAAGGCTACCTAGAAATTATGTATTCGTTACATTTCAATAACTTTAATTGGATCTTTTCCCTCTCTTAACAGTAACGGCGTTGAAGCATATCAAAACCAGATTTTGTCATGATGTTTTATCACACCATGTGGGCTTCGAGTGGCTGACCTTGACAGTCGTTCTGATAATTGTTAAGAGCTCTGCCATGAAGTTTAGAAATGATATATACTTTCTTTACACACATTTGTAAAGGTAAAACTATTACAGGTTCATAGAAATATCCAACTTTGACTATCTAGGTGTTCAGAATCCGTTTTATTTTACTATATAGTAACCTAAATTAATTTGGTTACTATATATATAAATTAATTTGGTTACTATATATCTAAATTAATTTGGTTACTATATATCTAAATTAATTTGGTTACTATATATCTAAATTAAGTTAGGTTACTATATATCTAAATTAATTAGGTTATTAGATGGGAATGAACGAGTCAAAACCCATAGATATTATATACACTTCACATTATGAGAGACCTAATGGTATTCTTTGTTGCTGACCAGGCTGT